AAATGTTCTAATAACCGAATAACCTGTTCTTAGAACATAAACCCGATGTGGTAGAACACAACAGTCTCAGCAAAACACGTTCGAAAAAACATTTCGTGGAAACCACATACAAAGTTCTTAAAACGTTGTTTGATAGGCCTATTGGCAAGCCAAAGCCAAGACGCTTCGCCACTGCTTGAGGTGGGGATGTGTTTTGGCCAACGGCCTCGTGAAGCGGGTCAAAAGGCGTCCAAGCTCAAGTCAGGCCACGAGCAGGCAGCGAACCAGTGAAAACAAAACAGGCGCAGCAGCCGGGCGGCAGCTCATAAGGGCGAAGATAACAGGTAGACCCAGTCCCGGCGGCGTCCGAAAATCCCGGTCGCTACCAACAAGTAGACGCAGCCAAAATGGCGCGGCGGCGCGTCCGAAATCCCGTAAAGGTCGAAAGCTGTGAGAGGCTCGGACGGCAACGTCAGAACGGGACCGCCACGCACCCCCTGAAGACATCCGTGAACTGGACGAACACAAATGTCGAAATATCGTGTCAGCGCAAGAGTGAAGAGGGGCAACCTCGTCACAGATAGGACTGCAAACGGCAGTAACTCTTGTTTGTACAGCAGTGGCACTTGTCGAAAGCGGAGTCCTTGAAGGCGAGAACAACCGACGGGCGCACGGAGCCACACATGCCGAAGTCCTTGCACCGTAAAGGTCGGCAGCGTAGCGAAACCCCACTGAAACCTTGCGGTCACTAGTGGTGGCTGACACCAACCAAGAGCAGGCCAGGGGCCACCTGACCACCCATTCCCAGTGTGATCCTTGCGTGGAATTCGTAACGATACCCCACAGAACCCTTTTTCGGTCACCAGTGGAGGCCGACACCAGCCAGGAGCAGGCCAAGGGCCACATGACCGCCCATTTCCAGCATGATCCTTGCAAGGAATTCAGGCTGTCAGAGCACCATCATACAGCAGTATTAGCGGCAACCACAGCCGCGCGGGATAAACCCGGTGAAACAAATGAGAGGAGGGGAACTGCACGCCATGCACGGTAGGCACCCCGGCGTGGCAGCATACGCTGCAGCATTAGGATGCAGGGGGGGAGAAAAGGAAGTGCACGCCAGGCACACGGTGTGAGAAGAGAGGAGGAGAATGGTAGAACACTTACTCGAACAGTTGTTGCTGACTATGCCAATCGTGGCTGTGCCATTTCCGACCGCGCTGACTGTGCCAACCTGGACTGTGCCAGCCCTGGCTATGCCAACCCTGACTGTGCCAACGAAGCTCCTCCCAAGCGGTGGGCTCCCCTTCCTCTTGCGACTCGCGACTACCTTCACACTCCTCCCACTGGAGGCGACAGACCATCGCAGAGTCTGCTGGTATCCGAGGCGGCTGGGTGTTCCCAGGGGTCGTGTCGCCAGTGGGTTGTGTTGGACGGTCGGAAAGGTCCTTCTGTCTTCTCCCTGCCCCTTCCCTTGCGGCTCGCGGCCCATTTCGCACTCTTCCCGGTGTAGGTGACTAACCACCGCAAAATCCCTTGGAATCGGAGGCAGCTGGATTCTTCAAGGGGTCGTAGTACCGATGGGCTGTGTTGGACGGTCAGCAAAGTTTTCTCTGTCTTCTCCCTGCCCCGCACCCTGCGACTCGCGACTATCTTCACACTCTTCCCGGTAGAAGCGACTGACCGTCGCAGAGTCTGTTGGAATCCGAGGCGGCTGGGTGTTCCCAAAGGTCGTGTTGCCAGTGGGTTATGTTGGACGGTCGGCAAGGTCCTCTCTGTCTTCCCCCTGCCCCCTCTCCTGTGGCTCGTGACCCATTTGGAAATCTTCCCGGTGTAGGTGAACGACCATCGCAAAGTCTGTTGGAATCCGAAGCGGATGGGTGTTCCCAGGGGTCGTGTTGCCAGCGGGTTGCGTTGCACGGTCGGCAAAATGCTCTCTGTATTCTCCCTGCCCCTCACCCTGCGACTCGCGACTACCACCACATTCTTCCCGGTGGCGGCGACTGACCGTCGCACAGTGCGTTGGAATCTGAGGCGGCTGGGTGTGCCAAGAGGTCGCGTTGCCAGTGGGTTGTGTGGGACGGTCGGCAAGGTCCTCCCAGTCTTCTGCCTGCTCCTCCTCCTCCTCCTCCTGTGATTCGCGACTATCTTCGCGCTTTTCCTGGTGGAGGCGACCCATTTCGCAATCTTCCCGGTGTAGGCGACTAACCGTCGCATCTCGAAGAATCATGGGCAGAGGGGGGAGGAGAATGCAGGAGGGGAGGGAAGGAAGTGCACGCCAGGCACACGGTGTGAGAGGAGGGGGGGAAGAGCTTACCATAACCCTGTGTACACTGGCTCGCACGCCAGGCGCTCTGATTCTGGCAGGGTGCTGACAGCACGCAGACGCCGTCGACACAGGGGTGGAGGCAGACGGCCGCGCTTCTGACGTCAAGGGCCCGACCTCGCACGAGAACACTCCCACCCTACGGCGAACGGCCAGTGTCGGCGCCCACGAGATCCCGTCCCATTCACTCACACACAGACCATCTTGACCACCTTGAACATCACTCAATCACACACTCACTCACCCACTCGCTCATCAGCTGCATCATCCTCATCATCCTCATCCTCATCCTCATCCTCATCCTCATCATCCTCATCCTCATCCTCATCCTCATCCTCATCCTCCTCATCATCCTCCTCCTCCTCCTCCTCCTCATCATCATCATCATCATCATCATCACTCATTCAGTCATTCACTCACTCACTCACTGACCCACTCATTCGCTAGCTTGAATATGGGGGAAGTATCAGGCGGGAGCCTCGTCTGTGAGTAAGTTGCGGGAAGTCTCAGGCGGGAGCCCTCTCCTTATGGGGCTCACACTTCATGTTTTCTATCCGAGCGGGTCACCCTCGAACCTGTAACTGTCGTTAGTTTTGGGCTCCTGAGGCCTGAATGTGGGGGAAGTATCAGGCGGGAGCCTCATCTTTGAGTGAACTGTGAGGAAGTCTCAGGCGGGAGCCCCCTCCCTGTGGGGCCCGCAACTCTTGTGTTTAATCCAAGCGGGTCATCCTCGAACCTCTAACTGTGGTCACTTTGGGGCTCCTGAGGCCTGAATATGGTGGAAGTATCAGGCGGGAGCCTCGTCTGTGAGTGAACTGTGAGGAAGTCTCAGGCGGGAGCCCCGTCCCTATGGGGCCCGCACTTCATGTCTTTTATCCGAGCGGGTCATCCTCGAACCTGAAACTTTCGTCACTTTGGGGCTCCCGAGGCCTGAATATAGAGAAAATATCAGGCGGGGAGTCTCGTCTGTGAGTGAACTGTGAGGAAGTCTCAGGCGGGAGCCACCTCCCTATGGGCTCTTCAGGGGGCGATTCGCCCGACCCATCAGGTGAGGAGGAAGAGGAGGAACAGGAGGTGAAGGAGATGAGGACGGCGACGGCGGCCGGGCGCAGGGGGAAACCCTTGCGCCTGGGCTGGGGAAATCCCTTGCGTCCGGGCCTTGCGACAGTGAAGGTTCGTTCCAGATTAGCCCGAAGGATTTTCATGTGGGCTGGAGACGGATGCTGTTGAGTACTGGGTGCTGTGTTGAACACAGAAGCACGGTGGGCGGGCGGCGGGGGGCGGGCGGCGGGTGTTTTCTCGAGGGCCCCCCCTCCCAAAAGTTGGGATGGCCGGAGAAGCCCAGGGAACAACCACATAAAAACTTCTTAAGTTTTTGGGGGTGTCTGGGGTGGCTGGAGAAACCCAGAGAAACTAAAGGAGAACCGCCGCGTGGGAAGTTTTCCGGTGCTTTTCTCGGAGCCTGTGATGGCCAGAGAACGCTCGAAACGACCTCCGAAACACCCCGCGAATGGGGCTGCTTCCCGGGGATGTCCGCCGTGCCCCCCCCACCCCGAACCCGGGCGGCCCGAGGACCCCCGCACGAGTTCCCCCGCGGAGCCTGGGGTAGCCGGAGAACTCCCGAGAACATCTGGCAAATCCCCCCCCTCCTCCGAAAAGCTCCCCCCTCCCCTCCCCTCCCGGAGAGAACCCGCAGAAACCACCGACAAGCACCTGAGAACGACTCGAGTTTGAGACGTTGCTCGGGGGGGGGGCCCTCCCGGAGAAGCCTCCGAAGAAATAAGAGACACCATCGAGTCGAACAAAACTCCGAATGGGGATTTCCCCAGGGGGATCGGGGAATTGCCACAGCCAACTGGCACCGTGCCATTCGTGGGCCGAAGATCGACAAAGCCTCGGGAGGCGCCAACGCGGCACGGTGCATGCAAGTCGTCCGCGGAGAAATGGGGGAACGGAGAAGACAGTTGCTTATTTTCGGCGATAACCCAGACTATCCAGTGGGGGGGGCCTCGGGGGGATGACGGCAGATAACCCAATCTCTTCGCTTTGGGTAGCCCCAGGTGTGCCCGCGCGCACCAGTACTAGGTACACCTAGTTCGGGCATTTCCTCCTACAGGCGGATTTGAAAATAATTTGTTCAGCAAGGCAACACATTAATCAAACACAATCAATCAAAGAGCAGAACCATCGTCCCCAGACTGGTTATATTGTATCATTGTCAACTATTCCTCCTGTAGAGGGAGACGCCCGAAGGTACCCCCCCTGTGGACCTGCGCAACCAACATGGCCAGGTCATCCAGGGGCGGGGGGGGGGCGGGCCCGACGACCCCGTTTAACGCCAGCCCCGTACACAAACAGTCTCGTACATACCAAAGGCGTCCGCGGAGGGGCGGAGGGACGGAGCGTCGGGGCTCTTCTGCCCCGGGGCAGTGCAAAGCTGGGCCAGTCATGCCCTGCAGCATCCTGCGAGGCCCTGCAGGATCCTGCAGGATTCTGCGCCTAAGCCCAGGCCAGGTGGGGCCCTGGCCCTGCAGGATCCTGCACGATCCCGCGCTCTCGCTGACCCCCGCTTGCATGGACCCCCGTCTCCCGAGCCCCGAGAGCGGAACGGAGGGGGGGCGGGCCCGAAGGCCCCGGTCGACGCCAGACCCTCACGCAAACGGAGGGACGGAGCGGGACGGAGGGGGGGCCCCGGCGCCTGGGTCGCGAGCCGCATCCACTCGAAGTACCTGTCGTCGGCGTCGGTGGCCTCCTCCTCGGCGGGGCCGCGCGCCCGGGGCGGCGGCCGCCCCGCCTGGGCCTCCCCCGTCGCCTCGCGCCCCTCTTCCTCCTCCCTTTCTTACTTCCTCCCTCCCTTCCCCCCCTTCCTTACTTCCTTCCTTGCGTTCTTACTCTCTCCCTCTCCCTCCCCTCCCTGCCTCCCTCTGACTACTCCTCTGCCCGTCAGTGTGTCCGTCCGCCTGCCCCGGCGTCCCTCCCTCCCCCCCGAATCATCCTCCCTCCTCCTCCTTCCTCCTCCTCCTCCTCCTCCTCCTCCTCCTCCTTCTCTTCCTCATTATCCTCCTCCTCCTCCTCCTCCTCCTCCTCTTCCTGCTCCACATCATCATCAGCATCATCATCATCATCATCATCATCATCATCATCATCAGCATCATCATCGTCATCATCATCATCATCATCATCATCATCATCATCATCACCATCACCATCATCATCATCATCAGCATCAGCATCAGCATCAGCATCAGCATCAGCATCACCATCAGCATCATCATCATCATCATCATCATCGTCATCGCCATCGCCATCATCATCACCATCACCATCATAATGATTATGATCATTAACAACAACATCGTCATCATCATCATCATCAGCATCATCAGCATCATCATCATCATCATCATCATCATCATCATCATCATCATCATCATCATCATCATCATCATCATCATCATCCGCACCATCATCATCATCATAATCACCATCATCATCAGCATCAGCATCAGTATCATCATCAGCATCATCATCATCAGCATATCCTTATTCCTCTTCCTGCTCTTCCTCCTTGTTTTTGACGTTGCTCGGACCTGAAGCACGGGCTTGTGGCGTTTCCTCCTCCGTCTCCTCCTCCTCCATCATCTTCCCTCCTCCTCATTCCTCCACTCCCACTTCATTATACGGATTTCACCTCCCTGTCGCACCCGCAAGCGTGTTGGTAGGATGTGCTAGGAATGTCGCCCGACGTCCTCGCCGCGTATGGCACTGAAGCTTGAAATTCGCAACAGCTGTAAGGATGGAGGAGGTCTTTTTTCAAAATGAGGCTCTCGCCTAAGCTCCGCGCGCGCTCGTCTTAAAGACCTGCAGCAGTAACATTGATGGAAAGGGGTGATTTTCAAAACGGCCCGCTCGTAATAGCGCCGCTTACATTCGTCTCAAGTGTTGGCAACGGTTACAGTGCACCGTATAAGGATGGAGGAGGAAGGGTCAAAATGAAGCTCTACCGTAGCGCCCCGCAGGTTCGTCTTAGAAGCTAGCGACATGTACAATGATGCAGGGCGGTTCCTTTTCAGAATGGGAGGCTCGCCTTTGCACCGGGCACAGCCGTCGTAAAAGCTTGCAGCAGATGGTGAGAGATTCTCTTATTCGGCGTTTCGATATTGGGCGGAAACGGGGGGAGGGGGGGGTCTGGCTCCGAACCTCGGCTTAATGCGACTGTTTGCAAAAAGGCGTCCTGTGGGGGAGGCCCCACCTGCTCCAAACAGGCGCCCAAAAAACAGCCAAGAGCTACCGCGCCGATCGGCAAAACAATGAATACAGAAAACGAGGACTTGACAAGGATGGAAGCCAGCTCATGGTTAAAGCTACTGTGTCGCTTGAGCCCGAGACGTCATACAGTCGGGGCGTTGACCTAAGGAACCCGAAATAAGGAACGAGGTCCCTGTTTCCCATAAGTTCAACCTCGATTTCCCATGGAAAACCTCAGGAAAATCCGAGGCAAACTGTGAAACATTCAAAGAACACCGAGCCCCTCCCCAACGAAACGGGTTCCTTCTTACATGCCCCGACTGTAGCACATGTAGCAGCTGCCCGGAGGGAGCGCGGCTCCTCCTCAAAGATGGCGCTCTCGCGTCAGGCGCTCTCGGAGCGCACGGCCAGAGCTCGTGAGCGTGCAAACGGCTACACCGAGGGGGGCGGTCGACGATCAAGCTGTGGCGTCGAGGAGGAGGAGGAGGGGGCGGAGGAGGAGGAGGGGGCGGAGGAGGAGGAGGAAGAGGAGGAGGAGGAGGAGGAGGCGGAGGCGGAGGCGGAGGCGGAGGCGGAGGAGGAGGAGGCGGAGGCGGAGGCGGAGGCGGAGGCGGAGGCGGAGGAGGAGGAGGAGGAGGAGGCTGGAGGCCTCGTTGGGCTGCACGATCAATACCTTGTCGCCTTCCTGACGACGTGCGCCAAAGTTCTTCTCCATCCCAATGTACAGTCGGGTCGTTGACCTAAGGAACCCTAAATAAGGAACGAGGCCCTGCTCCCCATCAATTAAAGTTCGATTTCCCATCGAAAACCTAGGGAAAACCCAAGGCAAACTGTGGAACAATCAAGGAACACGGAGCCCCTCCCCAACGAAACGGGTTCCTTCTTCAGCGCCCCGACTGTATTGCTGCCGACATGGCCAACTGAGCGTAGATGGCATCAAGGAGAAACGCAAGCACTGAACCACACAAAGCAGGACCGGGCGGTGGAAAGTGTTGGGAAAGGCAAGATCCTCAAGCACGCTCGAGTGACACCATCATGTTTGGCTCAATGCTGGTTCCCCACAGGCTGAAGGGCGAGCCTGGTAGGTAATGTTGACCGCGTCTCGCCAGCACTGGGGCTTGTTGCACATCAGGAGGTTGTCCGAGCACTTGTCGCAGCCCTTCTCCTGATTCGCCGCGGTTTGGCCCCTCCCATGACGAGGGCGCAGGCAGACACATCAACAGGCCAGCCAGAAGCAACAGCATTGCCAGACTTGAACAGCCAATTGGAGCGAGGAGAGAACACACACACACACACACATACGCACGCGCACACGCACACGCACACGCACACGCAAATGTTTGCACTCTGTCTGCGCATGAGTTTGAAGGGGCCCTGGCACACACAAATAAATGCACACAAATAAAAGGATCTCCCATATCTTCTCATATTTTCTGGCTTTTTGTCTTCCCCCCCACTTCCCATATTTTCCCATATTTTCTGGTGGAATCGTCGATTAATTGTGTCTGTGTGTTTGTTTTCCCTCCTGAGAGCTCTCCGTTGCAATCAGGGCAGACACCAGGCCCAACAATCCAGGAGGAGGAGGAAGAGGAGGAGGACGAAGAATAGTGGGGGGAGGGTAAGGCGGAGGAGAAGACGCGATCCCCAATCGCCTCCCTGACACTGCATTCGCGCTGGAGGGCCTGCGTGACTGCTCCTTCGCCCGCTGCCCAGAAGCCCTGAGCTGAGGTGGATGACGAGATGCGATCCCCACAACCAGATGACCACAACACATCACGTCAACATAAACGTGCGGAGGTCCGCGCAGATTTCCTGGGGCGGCGCCAGAGACGCTCGTGGGGGGGGAACACAATGCCGACCAACACAAAATCCGCGCAGACTTCCAACAATGTACGTCTACGTTTCTCTGTTCTACGGCAAACGCCTCCCTGAGACGGCGTTCATTAGAGTCGGGACTGATTGCAGAGGGTATCCGAGAGGGCACGAGTCTTTTCCGAGGGCGACCTGTGCTCCAGACATGAAGTCGGCGTGAAACGCGAAAGACAGGACACTAAGGTGCCCTTGATGGTGCAGGGTCGACCTGCGAATCGCCTGTCTAAGACGGCATCGGGGCTGCAAAACTGCCAGAGCGAAGTACACATACCCAGTGTCCCTTTCCTCCCTCCCTCCCTCCCTCCCTCGCTCGCTCCCTCCCTCCCTCCCTCCCTCCCTCCCTCCCTCCCTCCCTTCCCTCCTCCTCCTCCTCCTCCTCCTCCTCCTCCTCCTCCTCCTCCTCCTCCTCCTCCTCCTCCTCCTCCTCTAAGCCAATGTAGTAGGGCAAGTGGGAGTGCGACACTGGATAGTGTTGCAGATGTGTGGGCATCGGCTTTTGGGCAGCCTTCTAGAAAGTCCTCACCACATTCCGAGCAGCCCCATTGTAAGCCCCCAGGCCCCTTCTAAGAGGACCCTAAGCCACCTGCCTTCTAAGAAGGCAGAGGGCTCCCTCGAATCTTAGAAGCTTTCAAAGCATCTAAGAAGCCTTCCTGAAGCCCCTGGAGCTCGTTTTACCTAACAGCGAAGACTGATAGGTTTCTAGCGGGGTCAAAAAAGACCATCTGATGACTCCCCAAGGGGGTCTGGGCGGGAGCCGGACAAGCGAGAACCGGGCTCGTTTTAAGCAAACAATCATACACTTCGTGCTCTTCGACCTCCCAGAACTCAATTCCCGGGCCACATGAATGCCCGGAGCCAACTGTAGGCCACTTCGTGCTCTTCGACTTCCCAGAACTCCACTCCCGGGCCACATTTTGGATGCCCGGAGCCAACTATAAGCCACTTCGTGCTCTTCGAGTTCCCAGAACTCCACTCCCGGCCCACATTTTGAATGCCCGGAACCAACTGTAGGCCACTTCGTGCTCTTCGAGTTCCCAGAACTCCGTTCCCGGGCCACATTCTGAATGCCCGGAGCCAACTGTAGGCTACTTCGTGGTCTTCGAGTTCCCAGAACTCCATTCCTGGGCCACAGTTTAAATGCCCGGAGCCAACTGTAGGCCACTTCGTGCTCTTCGAGTTCCCAGAACTCCACTCCTGGGCATGATTTTGAATGCCCGGAGCCAACTGCAGGCCACTTCGTGGTCTTCGAGTTCTCAGAACTCCATTCCTGGGCATGATTTTGAATGCCCGGAGCCAACTGCAGGCCACTTCGTGTTCTTCGAGTTCCCAGAACTCCACTCCCGGCCCACATTTTGAATGCCCGGAACCAACTGTAGGCCACTTCGTGCTCTTCGAGTTCCCAGAACTCCGTTCCCGGGCCACATTCTGAATGCCCGGAGCCAACTGTAGGCTACTTCGTGGTTTTCGAGTTCCCAGAACTCCATTCCTGGGCCACAGTTTAAATGCCCGGAGCCAACTGTAGGCCACTTCGTGCTCTTCGAGTTCCCAGAACTCCACTCCTGGGCATGATTTTGAATGCCCGGAGCCAACTGCAGGCCACTTCGTGGTCTTCGAGTTCTCAGAACTCCATTCCTGGGCATGATTTTGAATGCCCGGAGCCAACTGCAGGCCACTTCGTGTTCTTCGAGTTCCCAGAACTCCACTCCCGGGCCACATTTTGAATGCTGAGGCACGCTGAGGCTGAGGCTGAGGCAGGCTGAGGCTGAGGCAGGCTGAGGCTGAGGCCGAGGCTGAAGGCAGACTGAGGCTTAGGCTGAAGCAGGCTGAGGCTGAGGCTGAGGCTGAGGCTGAGGCTGAAGCAGGCTGAGGCTGAGGCAGGCTGAGGCTGAAGCTCAGGCTGATGCAGGCTGAGGCTGAGGCAGGCTGAGGCTGAGGCCGAGGCTGGAGGCAGACTGAACCCGAGGCTGAAGCAGGCTGAGGCTGAGGCTAAGGCAGGCTGAGGCTGAGGCTGAGGCAGGCTGATGCTGAGGCAGGCTGAGGCTGAGGCTCAGGCTGATGCAGGCTGAGGCTTAGGCAGGCTGTGGCTGAGGCCGAGGCTGAAGGCAGACTGAGGCTGAGGCTGAAGCAGGCAGAGGCTGAGGCTGAGGCAGGCTGAGGCTGAGGCTGAGGCAGGCTGAGGCTGAGGCTGAGGCTGAGGCAGGGTGAGGCTGAGGCAGGCTGAGGCTGAGGCCGAGGCTGAAGGCAGACTGAGGCTGAGGCTGAAGCAGGCTGAGGCTGAGGCTGAGGCAGGCTGAGGCTGAGGCAGGCTGAGGCTGAGGCTGTGGCTGAGGCTGAGGCTGAGGCTGGCAGGCTGATGCTGAGGCAGGCTGAGGCTGAGGCTGAGGCTGATGCAGGCTGAGGCTGAGGCAGGCTGAGGCTGAGGCCGAGGCTGAAGGCAGACTGAGGCTGAGGCTGAAGCAGGCTGAGGCTGAGGCTAAGGCTGAGGCAGGCTGAGGCTGAGGCTGAGGCAGGCTGATGCTGAGGCAGGCTGAGGCTGAGGCTGAGGCTGATGCAGGCTGAGGCTGAGGCAGGCTGAGGCTGAGGCCGAGGCTGAAGGCAGACTGAGGCCGAGGCTGAAGCAGGCTGAGGCTGAGGCTGAGGCAGGCTGAGGCTGAGGCTGAGGCAGGCTCAGGCTGAGGCAGGCTGAGCTGAGGCTGAGGCAGGGATATGCTTGCCTGAAGTCAGGCATGAGGCTGAGGCCGAGGCTGAAGGCGAAACTGAAGCTGAGGCTGAGCAGGCTGAGCTGAGGGGAGGCGTAGGCTGAGCTGAAATCGACTGATGCTGAGGCCTGAGGCTGAAGCCGAGGCTGAGGCTGAGGCTGAGGCTGAGGCTGAGGCGGCTGAGGCTGAGGCTGAAGCAGGCTGAAGGCTGAGGCAGGCTGAGGCTGAGGCTGAGGCTGATGAGGCAGGCTGAGGCTGAGGCAGGCTGAGGCTGAGGCCGAGGCTGAAGGCAGACTGAGGCTGAGGCTGAAGCAGGCTGAAGCTGAGGCTGAGGCAGGCTGAGGCTGAGGCTGAGGCAGGCTGAGGCTGAGGCTGTGACTGCGACTGCCGTTGCCACTGCGACTTTCATCGCGAATGCGACTGCGACTGCGAGAACAGCAGAATTCTACAACTGGATTCTCATGTGAATCTTAAGGGGAATGCTTCCATATATGCTCCTACACATCGCTGTTAGGTTGCTTTGCTGGGATGAATTTATTGGGGGGGGGGCAACGCCCGTTACGGGGAGGGGTCCGGTCCCAAGTTGGGGGTAACGGTAACGCGCGGCGGGGCCCTCGCACGGGCCCTGCTACTCATTACCAGCACAACTGTCGGCACGGTAGGCTTCGTCGTCGTCGTCGTCGTCGTCGCCGCTGTCGTCGTCGTCGAAGCCGACCGTGCCTGTGCACACTACACAGGCTCTGTACACCGCGATGCCTTTGTACACCACAACTGCGGCAGAAATGGTATGTGTGTGCACCACGGCGACTGAGCACATCACGACAGGCGGGTGCACCACAGCGCCCTTGTACATCTCACTGTTGGTGCACACCACGGCGCCCGCGTGCACCACAGCTGCTGTTTCAATGCCCCGTGTTTGCACCAGAATGCCAGCGTACACCACAAAGCTTGTGTACACCTGTAAGGTACCGGCGGGGCGAAAGTCCAGAAGATCGCTCGGGACCCAACCGTGGCCCTTTCACTATGTGAGCTGATTGTGGATCTTAGGTTTTCTGGTTCAAAAAGCGTTCGGACCTGTTGGGCCCACAGCGCCTGTGTACTCCATTGCGACTGTGTACATCATGGGAACGTGAACCGTGGCGCCTGTGTATACCACATGGCATGTGTGCACCACAAAGCTTGTGTACGGTTTTTTTGTGCGGAGTGTAAACCACGCACCGTGGGGCCGCGCGGGGCGGCGGCAGCCTAGGGAACTCAGGAAGCAGGAATTCCCTGCACAGGCACAAGGCCCTTGAGACATGGGTCGACGGCTGGAGCGTGCACGCGGGTGCGTCGTCGTCGTCGCCGTCAGTTGCGACGGCGACCGGGGGGGCGACGGCGGCGGCGGCGACACGGGCGGCGGCGACGGCGACCACGACGACGACGACGACGACGACGGCGGCGGCGACGGCGACGACGCCGACGGCGGCAAGCGGCGGCAGCGGCGGTGAAGGTGACCGCCGCCGCCGTCACCGCCGTCTTCGTCGCCGCCGATGCCGCCGTCGCCGTCGCCGCCACCGCCGCCGCCGTGTCCGCAGCCAGTTGCCGACAGCTTCAGTAGCGCTCGGGGCCCACT